AGAAGAGAAGAGAAGAGAAGAGAAGAGAAGAGAAGAGAAGAGAAAAGCCCATTATGATTAAAACAGGAAACCCAAAACTGTATTTCTTTCTCACACCTGTGATTTTCCTTCCCCAAAATTGTCCATTTGTTTTAAAACGAAATATAATGGTGAAAATGCTCCATTTCTTACATCCCTGCTCAGATGACACAAGGGTCGGATATCGCGATTTGGGAAGCCCAGGACATTTGCCCTGCAACAGCTCCACTGCTGTACATGTGCGATTTTAACAATTTTCTCCATGAAACCAATGGGAACTTCTCCCCAAAATGCCGATGTGAGGTGGCAGCCCTGGGGAGAGCTCTTCGCATTTGTATATACGCGGGAAGGGGATTTTTACGCCTATTTATCGGCAGAAAACAGAATGATAGAACAATGGCATTTAACACCCGGGCATTTACATCTTCGAAGTGACGGACAAAGATTCCCTACATTCGTATTCTTCTGTCTGTCCGGGTGGATCCGACGTTTGTCCCGGACACGAGGGATCTGCCGGAGGCGGCGTCTCCCTATGGACGGTGTCGGAGCTGTGGATCCCGAGAGCTTTCCTCTCCCAAAGGACGCGCTTTTCCCCTCGCTTTCCCCGCAAGCAGAAGGCAAAACCCAACTTTTATTAGAAAATCACGCCTTGTGACTGCCGGCCCTTTGGGAGCGAGCACGGCGGTTGTTTGTTTGTTTAATTCGGGGTAATTCCTCATCCAAAGCTCATTAAGAGCAAAGGCAAAATTACACCTGAATAAAGAGCTGAAGCGAATTTCACACTTCGCTCTCCCGTCGGGGCACCACACGGTGCTCATCTGCACCAAACCTCCCGAAGTTCGGATCGGGGCTGATGGATAGCAGGGAATCACGGCCACGGGGGGAAGCTCCCCGCACCCCCTCGGCCATCCAGCCGGGATCCAACCCCCCCACCCCACACACCCACACCCCGACACACCCCAGGTCCCTCCCCTATGGCTGCTTTTGGGGCCCGGCCTCGCCCCCCCTCCCCGCCTCCCTCCCCGCCCCGCTGGCTGCTCCCCGCCCGGCCGGCCCCGCAAGGCAGCGCCTATAAGGCCGCCGCTTCTCAGCCCCCCTGGGATTTTGGGGGGTCCGACGAAAGGGGAGGTTTGACGGCCGGGGGGGGCGGCCCGGGGCGGGCGGGGGGGGTAAGGAGCCGCGAGCCGCCCTGCATGGCCGAGGGATTATGAGCGCCGGTGAGTTGCAGCAGGCTCAGCCCAGACCCTCGGCACCGGCGGCCGCCCCCGTGCCCCCGCAGCCCCGCAGCGCTCAGGAGGCCCCCGAGATGGCGGTGTACTGCAGCGAGAACTTCAGCGTTTACCCCCAGCCCAGCCTCCACCCGCCCGGCGCTGCCGCCGCCGCCGCCGCGGCCGCCGCCGCCGCCGCCGCTGCCGCCGCTTCGTCGGGGCAACGGGCGGGAGGGTACGCGCTGGGGGACTACGGGGCTCCCGCTAACGCCGGCTACCTGTGGGGCATGAACAGCCCAGCGCCGTACCTGCAGGGCCCGCCCGGCTCCGGGGCCGCCGCGTCGCCCTTCCTGCCGCCCGCCTCGTACGGCTGCTCGCGGGGTGGCCAGCTGGTGGGCTCGCCCTCGGGGCCCGGCTCGCCGTCGGCGGGCGGCGCGGAGCTGAGCTGGCTGAGCCTGGCGAGCCAGGAGGAGCTGCTGAAGCTGGTGCGGCCGCCCTACTCCTACTCGGCGCTCATCGCCATGGCCATCCAGAGTGCCCCCGAGAGGAAGCTCACCCTCAGCCACATCTACCAGTACGTGGCCGAGAACTTCCCCTTCTACAAGCGCAGCAAGGCGGGCTGGCAGAACAGCATCCGCCACAACCTCAGCCTCAACGACTGCTTCCGCAAGGTGCCCCGTGACGAGGACGACCCCGGTGAGGATGGGGGGCGGGCGGCGGCGCGGAGCCCCCGGACGGGGATGGGAGGGGATGCGGGAGTGTGGGCTCTTCCCCGTGCGGTCCCCGGGCTCCCTTGTCCCCTTATATCCATCCCTGTGAGAGGACCGGTCTCCCTTGTGCCCTCGTGACCATCCCTATGGGGGGACAGTGCTCTGCTGTCCACTCGCGGCCGTCCCTACGAGAGGGCTGTGCTCCATCGTGTCCATCCCTATGAGGAGACCATCTCCCTTACCCCGCCATTGCCATCCCTGTGAGAGAACCAGGCTCACCTGTTCCCTCATTCCCTCACGGCCATTGCTGTGTGGGGACTCGGGTCCTTGTACCCCTCCTGACCAACCCTCTGAGGAGCTCCCTTGTCCCCTCAGTGACCATCCACGTGAGGAGACCACGCTCTCCTTGTCCTTCGTAGCCATCCCTTTGATTGCACCCCATGAGCTCAGTGCTGAGGAGCCCATGCTCCTTCGGTCACTTACAGCCATCCCTGTGAGGAACCCAGGCTCCCTTGTCCACTCATGGCAATCCCCAGGCTCCCTTATCCCCACCACTATGAAGAGATCAGGTGCCCTCAGCCCCTCCAAGCCTGGGCTTTGAGGACCTCTCCCACCTTTTGTCCCCTTCTGAGAAGATCGAGCTCCTTTTGCCCTCCTCGGGTCTCCCACTGCTTCCTGTAGGGGATGGCGGCTGGCCCCAATCCTCAGTCCCCCTGTCTGGGCAGGCCGGGTGGGCTGAGGCCACGAGGGCTGGTTGTGCAAGGCCTGGATCCTTTGGCCGTGATTCACGGCTCCCCTCCCTGCCCAGCTCTCGCCGGCCTGTCCCCAGGGCACAGCTGGTGCCCAGGAGTGGGTGTAGCGTAGGGGTGTGCTGGGACAGTGCTGAGTGGGATGGGAACATTCAGGGCTGGGACTTCTGAGGGGACACAGCAAGGCCATGGCTCCCATTAGCTGTGTGGAGGCAGCTAATGGCACCACAGCCCCCTGGAACAAAGTAGTGGGCATAGGGCAGCTTGAACCCGTCTTTCATAGAATTGCAGAATCATTAAGGTTGGAAAAGACCTCTCGAGTCCAGCTGTCAGCCCATCACCACGGTGCCCACAAAGCGATGCCCCTCAGTGCCATATCTTCATGGATGGTGACTCCACCATCTCTGTTCCAATGCACTACCACTCTTTCAGAGACGACATTTTTCCTAATATCCAACCTAAACCTCCCCTGGTGCAACTTGAAGCCATTACCTCTTGGCCTTTCTTTCCATCAGCTCTTCTGAGAAGAGCCATGGCAGGGTCCCCACTATTTTTGCCGTGCTGCAGATGTGGGTATCCCTGCTTGCCAAGAGGCACCCACAGCCAAGGAAGCCCTGCTTTGTGTTCCCTTCAGGCAGGTCTGAAGTAGAGGTTGAAGCTGTGGTGGGGAGTCCCCGTCTCCATGTGGCCTTAACGTTCACTTGGGCATTGCATGGGAGGGGGTGATGATGTTTTAGGGCCAGGTTTTGGATTCTTGTACTGGACAACAGGCAGAGGAGGAGCAGGTGTGGGTGCTGCGCTGGTTGGGCAAAGCATGGATACCGCTTATCCCTCTGCAGCAGGGCTCTCTGTCACAGAAGCTGACTTTCTCTCTTGCTTCTCCTGTTTTCCACCAGGAAAAGGAAACTACTGGACCTTAGATCCCAACTGTGAGAAGATGTTTGACAACGGGAACTTCCGGCGCAAGCGCAAGCGACGCTCAGAGCCCAACACCCCCGCGACCACGGCTGCGGCCTCCTCGCTCGGGGGCCTGAAGGCCGAAGAAGAGCGACCCATCCCAGCCGCAGGCAAACCCTGTGGAAACAGCCCACCCCCAGAGCTGGACCCATCGCCTTCTGCCAGGGACCATCCCAAAAGCTCCTCTCCCTCCGGTATCATTTCATCCACCCCGAGCTGCCTCAGCACCTTCTTCAGCGGCATGAGCTCACTGAGCGGTGGGGGCAGCCGGCTGACGGGGGGGCTCAGCACTGACCTGCATCACAGGAACTTCTCTGCTGGACAGCTGAGCAGTGGCACTTTCACCCCTTCCAGCAGCTCATCTCAAGAGGTGCCTTCACCAGAACAGCTGCAGCGAGTGGCGGGACCTTCCCCTGCCTATTACAGCTCCTTCCATCCCAGCAGCGGCAGCCAGGGCGCCCAGTACAACCACTACTACAACTTCACAGTCAACAGCCTCATCTACACCCGGGATGGAACGGAGGTGTAGGATTGCCGGGGCAGTGCTGCAAAGGGAATGGGAGATGCAGGTGTGTGCGTGGCAGCGTGGAGGACAGCGTGCTTTTGCAAACAGCATTTCAATGTGGACGCTTCCCGGGAGTTCATCCAGGAAGACAGATCTCATCTTTCCAAGCAAAAACACCCCACAAACACCAGCGGAAGACAGATGCAAAATCTTTTCCCCGTCCTGGAAAATGTTAGGTGCTTTGGGTCCATTCTGCCAATGAAAGTGAACTGAACATTTTCAGATGTTTTTAATCTTGAATGTAGAATAAGAAGTTGAAAAAACTATAATCATAAAACGCTATGTCAGCAAGAGCCATGCGTAGATGTTCTGTGAGTCTTAGAAGAGAACAGGAAAAAAAAAATAATGAAGAGATTTCCTATGAAGTGCCTTGTACAATGTATTAAAAACTCTTCTGCCAGCGATTGCCTCTGTCAGCCCTTCCTGCCCTGGTCCTGCAATATGTGATGCACAGGGAGGGGACAGGTTGGGAAAACAGCTGCCCAAAATCTCCTCAAGCTCCCCAGGAGGTTTGCTCTGCCATCCCGTGTATGGCACGCTGTGCAGGTAGGGCCGTGTTTTTGTACAGCCACCTTTTCCTCTGAGCTTAGTACCAAAGATAACTCTAGCCTTGCAGCTTTAGCACGAGAATAAACACTGGGGTATTTTTATACATATTTGTATGTAATGTAACTCTCCTGTACATATGTTTCTATGTGGTTTTATATTTGTAAATTATGCTCCGGAGCTGTACTTATTTATAATGTTTTCAACTTGGTTAAAGTTTATTTTACTCCGTTTCCCCTTCTTTTTTGGTTCTTTCGTTGGTTTTGATTATTTTTGTTGGTTTTGTTTTTGTTTGTTAGCGCATTAATAAAACTTTTCAGGCTGAACAGCTGTTGGGAATAAAATGTGGTAGATTTCTGCCTGTTTCTTCCTCAGTGTGTTTGAGGCATTCTGGAGCTCTGTGGGAGACAGGTTTTGCTTTCGCAGGGTTCGGGATGAAAGGAGCAAAGCCTTGTGAACAATTTCATCTGCAGGAAGACAAAGAAGGCTGCCCAGAGGAGATGCACATGAGCTGATTTGCTGCCTTTTGTGGTCTCCCCGTGCGAAGTGGGCATTCTGGGCTTTTGTGTTTGTTTTTGACTGTCATCTGAATGACAACTGTCTCTTTTCAGCCTGGTTTAATCGAAATAATAAAAGCTTGCAAAAGGAAAAGAAACAGGGCTGGTTCCAGTGCAGTGCTGGCAAGCGGGGAGCACCAAGGCTGAGCTTGGCTGACCCTCATCCATTTTGCAAATCAGTTTTTCAGATCAGAATGCACCTGCCTAAAACGAGAAGTCAGACGGGTCACCTGGCAGGCCAGGTTGAGCCCTCCACTATAAACACACTACTGAGAATCCTTCTTACAGCATCCCTTATGCAAAGCCATTAATCCCCAGTTCTTGCTGTTTGCATACACTGTTCGCTGGGTTCCGTGTGCAGCCATGGAACATAAATTTCTTCCAGAGGAATGTAGCATCAACACTGAAGTTAAGCATGAAATCGCATCTATTAACTGTATGTGCATCTGGAATGATGTAAGGCCATCTCCACTGGCTATTTAGAAAATAAAATCATTGGCAGCGTGATGCAGTGCCTCTTCACTGGCTACCTGCTCAACATGTATGGCAGTAATGCAAGATGAATCACTGGCCTGATCCAAAATATAATGAAGCCATGATGAAATGTCAGATGACATCCATGTGCTTGGGACTGGGACCAAGTACTTTCCCCTGCAATGGCCAGTCACTGTTTGTGCAATAGCTGAGACCAGTGGGCGAGCGGCAACTCCTGCCTCATCCCTCTCTTGCTCTCCCCTCCCCAGCAGAGATACAATCTTCCTGGCTTTAGGGATAATTCCTCCATGTCTTGATTTTTAACTGTCTTTCAGGTGATGCAGAGGTACTGATAATGGGAGAGAAAGGGTAGATTGCCACTAGCAAAATGCCACGGTGGTCAGCACATCCTACCCAAGTTCCTTCACAAGACAAAGGGAAATGGGGAGATTGAGATTGGATGTAAGGATGTTTTTTATAGTAAGGTTGGTGAGGGACTGGCACAGGTTGCCCAGAGAGGTAGTGGATGCCCCATCCCTGGACACACTCAAAGCCAGGCTGGATGGGACTCTGAGCACCTGATGGAGCTGAAGGAGTTCCTGTTTATTGCAGGGGGTTGGACCAGTTGGCCTCTAACTGTACCTTCCAACTCAAACGATTCTATGATTCTATGATTCAATCACAGCAGGTGTGGGACAGCTTTATTTGGGTTTGATCTAAAAATGGTGGAGGGATTTCCAACGCTTGGCAAGTTTTAGAACCAGTTCTTAAGTGAAGCCAGGAATTGCTTATTCATGTATCTATTTGCCTGTTTCACCCCTTCTCAGCTCCATCATCCTGTTGTCAAACCTTAGCAAGCAATGGGCCACTCTAGGATATTTTCATGTGTCCAGCTCATGTTCTTCCAAGCAGAAGATTAATTTCATGTTTTACTTTCTTCCACTTCCGTATGTTCCTGCAGATATCAGCCGTATGTTTCTGCAGATAGTACCAATAAACATTTCAGAGAATCATAGAATCATCAAGGTTGGAAGAGACCACTAAAATCACCTAGTCCAACCACCAAGCCATCCCCAGCATGCCCATAACCATGTCCCTCAGTGCCACATCTCCACAGATCTTAAATACCCCCAGGGACAGTGACTCCAACACCTCCCTGGGCAGCCAATGCTTGGCCAGAAAAGAATTTTTTCTTAATATCCAATACTTACTCTTGAAGATCCCAAATCTTCAAGATTAAATTTGCATTGCTAGACTCTGACAGTCTGTCCTCAGCAAATATTCCATGATGTTTCATGGCACATTGACTGACTGGTCTCATAGACAGAACCTGGACAAGCAAAGCATGAGAAAGGTTCACCCACCACAGTACACCAGCCCCAATCCAGAGGGGCAGTGATGGGCTGGAGGATGATTTTGGCAGGTCCCCAGCGCAGCAAATCCTTCTCCCTACAGGGAAAGTGACCCCGCAGCAGAGATCAGGTCTCCCGCGGACACATCTCTGCACGGCCGGGGCACTCATGATAAAGGAACCTGCCCAAGGGACACTTGGGAGTAGCATTCAGCAAATAGGCACCTACCATGCAGGAGGGAGCTGAGATAATGAGCTAATGGCAGCCTTTTTAGGTTTCCTTTTGTCATTACAAGAGGTTCTTCTTTTAATGAACAACGCCCAGGTCTTGGGAGAGGGAGGACAAGAGGATTCAGTTTAACGAAAGACATTTAAAAGCAGTAGGACTATTGTCATGGGTTTGGGGGATTTACTGTGATTCCCCATTTGAAGGAGGGAGAAGACAAAGGCAATTAGCCTGCTGGTCCCACTCTGAATCCCCTCTCCTCCGAATGCCAAGGCCATGCGATGGGCAGTTCTCCATGACAATGAGCCTCCTCCCAGGCTGGGCCGGGGCATTGCCTTTTCCCAGAGGGAAATATCCATACCCCAGCCTTCAGGCTTCCGTCTTCATCACAGCATGGCTGCGGTTGGCAGGGGTCTTTGTGCCCCTCTGGCCCGACCCTGCTCCAGCAGGGACAGCCAGAACAGGGTGCTTAGGCTCAACGTGCAGCTGGCTTTTGAATGTCTCCGAGGAGGAGACCCCTCGACCTCTCTGGGCAACCTGTGCACCCACACAGCAGAGCTGCCTGATGGGCAGGGAGTGCTTCCAGGGCTTCAGTTTGTGCCAGAAAGATACTGCCTTAACTGGGCAAGCATGGCCATATTTGATGTGAAACCACGGTTACACCTCCAACAGCCCCAGCCAAGGACTGGCTCTTCCAGCTACTCACTGCACACACAATTACTGAAATAGGCAAACCTCACTTGAAAAGAAGTCCAAAGACGTTTCAAGCGCCGCATTGGATCAGTAACACAGATGCTTGCTGGCTCCTACGTGTGGCACTTCTCCAGCATGGGGTCGTTTAACTTCGCTCAGCTCTGGCCCTATTGATGTGCCAGCAAAGGTTCAGGCAGGCACCCATTACAGGTCTGCACTTGAGTTGCTCCATGTTACAAAGGCTTTGCCAGTACAGCTGGATCGGCCCAGTCCCCTAGAGGAGACCCAGCTCCTATCAACAAAGGAAACTCTTGTGCCAGAGAAGCTAAACCCCCCACCCCCAGCAAAACTCAGTTTATTGCAGGGTGGTGGGAGGGGATTCGAGAGGCAGAACACAGCCATCCGTACTGGGTTTCATCACCCGCCAACTCTTTCAGAAAGAAGGTTTCAATTACTGCTACTGGCCATGGATTGCGGTTTGAATCTCCTCTGAAGAAGGAGGCTTTTGATTTGGGCTGCCACTTACCAAGCCTATGAAAACTGTTCACATTGTGCCCGTACAGAAGGATTGATTGCCTTCATAACACTGGTGGAGGGCAACATTTCTCTGCAATCACTAGGATGTTCAAAAGACGTAGTAGTGTTCAAGGAAATCACTCTTGGGATGTCTTTCCCTTGCTCTATTTCTAACAACGGAAAACCTTTATCAGACTTCTCTAGCTAATGCCCCACCAGTCCTACAGGCTTCACCTGACTTTGAATGTCATGCATCTAAATCCTCTCCTGCTCATTGGTGGGAAGCAGTCCTGTTGGTCTCATTCTGATAGCACACGAAAGAAGAAGGGCAAAGCTTCATTTTGTGGCTTGACCCATGAGGAGCAAGATGAGAATCAGGCCTGGCTGATGGTAAAAGTGGTGGGTGATGCGTCACCTAGAAAGAGCTGCTCCATATGGAGACTTCAGTTGTTGGGAAAATGTTGACAAAAGAGAGTCCAATTTCACCATCCTCTTAGAAAATCTTCCAAAACGGAACTTTATTCCCAATTATTTTTCCTCTGATTTTTGAAGGAAGAAATATATGGATTTACCTTCTATTTTTCCTTCTTTTTGGCAGAAATCTCCATCAAGCTGAACTCCCACTCCCCAAATGTTTTCTATTAAAAAGGAGCCTGATGGAATGTTTTTGTCCAAATTACCAAGCACAAGATTCACCTGG